TCAGTTCACCACCCGAGATTTTCTTCCACTGCTCAGGGAGAGCATGCTAGGCCATGGGGTCCCTTCCCATGGGAGACAGTTCTCCATGAACTTCTCCAGTGTGTTTCCAATCTGACAAGCAGCAGTTCCCCCAGAACTGCTGCACCGTGAGTCCCTCCCACAGGCACACAGTCCCCCCCAAAACTGCTGCAGTGTGGGTCACTCTGCACGGAGTGCAGTCCTCCAAGGACAGGCTGGTCCAGCCTGGAAGCAGGGCCCCTCTCTCCATAGAGTCTTCCACTGGACCGCAGCCTCCTCCAGGCATCCCCCTGCTCCAGCATGGGCACCTCCCCCATGGGCCACGGGTGGATCTCTGCATCCCCCATGGATCCTCATGGGCTACAGAGGAACATCTGCCTCACCATTCCTTCCCTACAGCTTGCAGAGGAATCTCGGCTCTGGCACTGGAGTACCTCATCCCCTCCTTCTCCACTGACCATGGTGTCTCCATCTTCTTTCCCTCACACATTCTCACCTCCTCCTCTTCTCTAGCTGGAATTAACACTGCACACACACCTCACTTTGCTTTGATTTTCTTCTTAAATCTGTTATCACAGAGCCATTACCAACCTTCCTAATTAGCCCAGGCTTGACCAGTGGCATGTCCATCTCCAGAGCCATCAGCCATTGGCTCTGCTGGACATGGTGCAAGCTTTCAGCAGCTTCTCACAGAAGCCACCTCTGTGGCTCCCCTGCTACCAAAAACCAGGCCATGCAAAACTGGCACACTACAAGTTATCCAAATTCCTTGTGAATCGAACTGTTTCCTGTGGATAATGCACTGTTTTTCTACCTGCTGAAGAGGTAGAGTCCCCCTGAATGCCTAATGCCTGTGTACTGCTGCTCTGCATGACTGGGAACAGTCTCCTGATCACAGTGTGAGACAGGAAAGCTTGGACTTAGCAGTTCTGTGAGATTACAAATCATAACAGCTAATCAAGATTTAAAACAGCTCTGGACTGAAAAGGCTAGCAAGTGGTCCAGCTGTGAGTTAATTCATTAGTTGCAGTAAATATCACTGGAAGAGCTTGTCAAAAGGAAATGTGAAGCAGCTGAAAAGAATCGTCCTTAAAGTGAATGTCAGAGGCTTTTGCAGCTGTCATCCAGTGGACTGGAGACTCTGGGCATTGGAGAGAAAATGAGGGTGAAAGACATAAAAATTTGAGTAGAGAGGATAAAGTACCAGTTCCCACTGAGTGGTTATAAAGGAAGCAATCTCACCACTACAGGGACCTAATTAGAGACTGAATCTCACAACCATCACAGCACTCTGAGAAACCCAAACCAGTGAATGCAGCCTGCTCAGAGCAGCAGCAGGAGGAGGCTCTGCTGCCTCAGCAGCACGATGGAATATCACGTTTGTGTAGCTGAGGGCATTTCCAGTGTTCTTGTGTCCTGCTCAGCCATCACTTGGGTCCAGAGAGCTACATAATTTTCCTGCCTGCCAGCACAGCATTTTCCTGGTCCTACAGAAGGCAACAATAGGCTCCCACTGCCACATACCTGAGCATCCCAGAGGAAAGGCACCAGGACCCTTTTCCCCAGGCAAATATAAGTGTTAATTGTCAACACTAACAAGACAGATTTTTGCATTTCTATGACTGATCTGATAAATCACTGCTTTTCTTGCTCTCCTAAATGTGCAGATCGATGTGAGTCCTCAGGTTTCCCTGGAGACACCAATGCTGTCAGTCAGAGGTTGCATGTGTGGTTCACCCAAGCCTTGGTGCAGCGCTCAGCTCCACCTCACCAGCTATTGCCCTTCTGAGACACTGTCAACCCTCTCTCCATCTTTGTGGAAATGTGGAAACACTGGCTTTAGTTTGAAGCCAATCTTTGGCAGCAATGCCCTCTCCTACTCTAGCTGCTCCCTCCTATCTCTGAGTTGCAGTGCATCACCTCATCATTGGTATGCCAAGCAGGGAGTTCTCTGAGTTGGGTCTTTTCTTTGTCTGGTGATTATTTCTAAGCAGCAACAAGTTTTCACTGGATTTTATTTATGACTGGGTCATTCTGGGTGCTGGTCCTTGGCACTCTCCTCCTGGTGCCAGGAAGGATTGTGCCTGCAGGAGCCCTGCTCTGGAATAGTGAGCAGAAGGGTCAGCAAGAAGGAATTCTTGTACCTGGTATTGCCATGAAAGGCACATTTAATGTAACCCTGTGAGGGTTCAGGGGCTGCAGGGATGTCTTCCATTATCACTACTACCAGCAATGACATTTTTGCCTAGCAGGATTTTCCAAGCATAGGGAAGGTCTATGCCTTCTGAGACAACCTGGGCAGCTCAGGGAAGAGAAGGGATAACTGCTCAGGATGCACAGATGTATAATGTTTGGGGGGCAGTGGTTTATGGGTCTCCTCTGAAGCTGGGAGGAGATAGGTGACCCGCCCAGAGAGAGCTCAGCTGACATCTGACAAGGACATTTTCATAGACCAGATAAACAGATGCCTTTTGTTTTGAGGAAAGCAAAATACCAGCCTGAGGCCAGGCTAGCCTATATCTTTAACATATGAAACAAGCCTAAACCACTTCATTTGAGGTTATTATTTATTTGGGTCAATATGGAACATTTGTAGCATTTATTTTCCATTTTTGGCCACCACATGCTGCTGTTTTCACTCCTATGTATATGTTTTCTTCTCTAACATTTCAGATGTCCTCTCCTGTAATATTTTAAATCCTTATTTGACTGATGATGCAGGTGGAGAATATTAATTACCTTCCCTGACCACTCTGGCCAAAATGACTTCCTTTGCTTGACAAGCTGATTACTTTGTCAAGGTGAATGTTAAGTCTGTCTGGAGTATCTCTGTGTGTCTTTTGCAAGATTGCAGTTGCAGTCTTGGTTTCTTATTGGGCATGCAGTTTCTCCAGACACAGAATACCTTTGAGGGGATATTTTCCCCCCCACTTTCCTCCTGAGAGTGATGTTGCTGCAGTTTATACCAATAAGATTTAGATGGCTGTATCTCTGAATTTGACAAGCTAGTGGATGTCAAGCAAACCCAACTGATGAAATTCCATTGATAAAGAAAATTCTCATCCTAGCAACTACCCAGAAAAGTCTACAAGTAGAGATTAGGAGTTAATAACAACTGCACCAAGTCTGCCAAAGCTGCTGGGGGTGTGACCAACAGACACTGCTGTGGAGCCAAAGAATCACTGCAGTGCCTGCTCCCTGCTGCCCTTCATCAGCAGGTTTGGAAGAGCAATCTCAAGAGGGTGATGGGGCTGATGAGCTCCCCAAAGTACCAGTTACAGGCAGTAGGGATCAGTCAGGAGCCTTTGTGACAGCTTTGCAAAAAATGGCTTAACACTGCATAGACTCATTAAAGTAGGAAAGAATTTTTCTGTCAATTGTCACTGGGGTTGGTGTCACAGATTGCCACTGACATAGGAGTCCATAGCCCCGCTTCACAGAGCCAGTGCACAGTGCAGGACCCAGGTGTATGTCTGCTTGCCAAAGTGGCTGTAGGCAGGACCAAACTTTGCCATGCACAAGCCACCCAGGCCTCCAGAGACCTTCAAATGGTCATATCCCGCATGGTCCCTAAAAGAGGCCAGCCAGAACTGCAGCAGGAAAGCTGTAGCATAAGTAGAGCCTTCAGACTGTCCATTGGATATAGTGGAGGCACAATAGCAAAACTCAAGTAAATTAAATGCATTTCTTAGCAATTCCTGAGAGTAGACAGGTTGTATTGTTTGTCAGCTGCAAGCCACATCAAGTGGGGTGGGTCTTCCACAGAGAAATTGTTGCCTCTGGCCCCAAAATATAATTGTAAGAAGGTAAGAAAAATATCCAAATTTCTCTTAATTCTTTCTAGATGGTACTTTATGAGCAACTGGCAGTCAGACCACTACAGATATTAGGAATTCAGGAAACATTACTAAGCAACACAAAGAACAGAGAACAGTGTGTATTTTCTGAGAAGACTGGGGGAAAAGTCCTGTGCCACTGAATGCTTTGGGAGAATAAGTCCTAATAGCTGCAGTAGCCAAATGTCACCTGGGACCAGCGTGTGAACAACTCTTTTGTAATATTATTTGGCAAACGTCTCAACATCTTGAGCTCATTGCAGAATAGAAAAGAAAATGTTGGCCAGTGTTTTCTGGTGGTACCGGAACATTAATTTCTCTAACCCTGTGTGGTGGTATCTGACCAGCTTGGATACCTGAGGGGGCAGGTCAAAGGAAAGCAATGTGCAGATGTGGTTTTCAAAGGCATCAGTTTTCAGTGAGTGTGAACCTCATTTACTGTTAAGAATAAATTTCTTCCTGGCATATTGTGAAAGAAATAATAAAATAAACAAAAGCATGGTATACTTTGTAAGATGAGGCAAGCATTTGTAAGAGGTATCTTTGTAAGATGAACCTCAGGGCTACACTGCCCACAGGCAAACCAGCTCTGGGTGCTATGTGAGAACTGAGGGCAAATGCTGGGCCGTGCTTTCCCAAGCAGATGCTGTCCTGGGGCTTCTCTCCTCACGGCAGGAAGGAGAAAAGCAGCTTTTACCATCCAAGTGCTGCTCCTCCTGGGTGGAAGAGAAAGGGAGCTCTTCTCCCCCTCTGCCTGCGAGGGAAGCACTGTCGGTGTGAGGGCAGGAGGCTGTCTCGGGGCAGGCCTTGTTCTCTGCAGGGACCTGCACCCCGGCCATTCCCTGCCCTAGACCAGTATGCTGGGATGCCCTGGCCTGCCCCTCCCATGCTCCCCCTCTGCTCTGTAGCTCCGAGCTCTGCCGAATTTTGTCCTTGGAAAGGCAGAGGTGGGGGAGCAGGCTCCCAACAGCTCCAGAGAAGCAGAGGGTCTCCATCGGGGGTATCTCCTTGTGGGAGATGAAGAAGGCATCTGTGCCGTAAGGGCTGCAGGCAGGAGCAGTCACCAGCCTCCCTGTGCAGCCGGCAGCACTCTGCCTTTTCTCGTTGTTTATTATCTGACGTCTGTTTTCGTGTGTTTCCCTGCAGGCGGGGAGCCAGGAGGGCTGGCGCTTGGGACACCTCCTCCTGGTGGGCTGCCAAGGACGGTGGCAGTGTCCTCCCGCCCAGGGCGGTGGCCGCGGGCACACGGCATCCCGACCCTCCCCTCGAGACCTACTTCTGCCGGGAGAGGCAAGGTAACCTCGCCACTGAAAATAGCTGGGACGGCGGCCAGCGGGGATTAATGGCTTCATTAACGTCCCCAGTTTATTTATAGGCTTAAAAATGCCTTGGAACTGCAAACTGAGCGCAGTTGCTCCGTGTAAGGCAGGGAATCACAGGTCTCCTGCTTCTGCCTTTCCCCTTCCTGCTATTTCATTCTGATTGCTGGGACTGTAAAGCCTCTGGAGGAGGCACTGTTTCTCATTGTGAAGCTACTTTGTAAACCTTCCTAACTGAAGGGACACACACAGATACTCTTTTTCTTTTCTTTTCTTTTTTTTCTTTTCTTTTTTTTTTTTTTTTTCCCCCCCCCAAGAATGCTGTATTTGTCTGGTCTCCTTCCTCTACCAACTTTTTCTGTACACACTGTGTCCTGTGGCCCTCTTGGAGAAAATTCTCTTTTTGATGAATTCCTGAGGCAAAGGCTGAGCAGCCATCACAGGAATTAGTGATTTCCCACCTTGGGTTTTAAACTGTGAGCTCTGTGGGAGGAAGACTGAAGTTCTCATAGCTGTGGAAAGCATGGAGAGCACTTAGGATATGTAGGACCCTAGTGAGAAATGCAGATGCAATTAGTTCCAACAAAAAATAGCAGAGTTAGCCCAGCACCCAGGTCCTTCAGGAGCCTCACAGGACTGGTGAGAAAAGAAAAAACCACCCCAAATGTGTTGGCCCCAGAAGAGGAGTTTTTGGCTTGTGACCTGTGGCCATTCTGCCTGGCCTGTTTCCCAGCAGTCAGTGAAAGGTAAGTGAGAAAGGAGACTCATCAGCAAGCACAAATCCAAGGGATAGGCTGTGTGACTGGGAGATAGATGGCTCCATGAGTAGGAGAAAAAGGTAAAAATGCCTGTCCTCACACCCAGAAGCGTGGATCACCAGCGTGGCAGCTTATGGAAGTGAGGTTGTTTCAGAGGGCAGCCACCCTTCACCTTCAACCATTGGTTATTTGTTGTATCAATCTGAGATAAACTCACGTGTCAGTCTCCCCTTGGCCCTCATCTTCTAGGGATGAAATAAAGAACCAGCAGAGAACCACTCAAACCTCTGTTGTCTTAATTTTCCCTCTGGGCAACGAGAATACTTCAGAGCAGACTGAATGAGACCAAAATGGTAGAAGGAGGGTTTCTCTGCCACTATAGTGAAGCCACAATCCTGGGATGCCCTCATCCTGCCAGCAACTGGTGGTTTTGGGGTATCTTCAGACCTTGCTTTCCCCTTCCTCTCTTTCCTGCTTGGGTTCTTGGCTCCAAATCTTCTCCATCCCATCTTAGCCAGGCCCAGCTCTCCTGGGATAGGGCTGTGATGAGGATGGGAATGCCTGCTTGCATTTTACTTTCCATATCTGTTAAATGGGACCATGATACTCTAATTTTATATGGAAGTGTTCCAGGCCAGGCTGGATGGGGCTTTGAGCAATCTGGTCTAGTGGAAGGTGACCCTGCTCATGGCAGAAGAGTTGGAACTGGATGGTCTTTAAAGCTCCTCCCAACCCAAACCATTCTGTGATTTTCTACAGTCCATGGAAGGGCAAAAGCAGGCATGCAATTCTTCATCCATCCAAAGATGATAACTGGGAGAGTATTTCTATGCCTGATATACATGTGATCCTGTGTAATTTTAAAGGCTTCAAGGAAAAGGCAAGTCTTATGCAGCACCTGAGACAAAGGCAGGAAGGGGGAAAAGAGTCATGTTTAACTGTACTCTATTTATGCTAGGAAAGAGACACATTTTGTATAGTTGTGTCTCATCTAAATTCCATCTGACCAGAAAAATCAGTGCAACTTTCTCACTAGAGAGATATCAGACTAGGGGAGGGAGTCTTGTGACAAAAGAGACCATCTGCATCTCAAACTGATTACCTGCTTTGAAAAGTGAATATAAAAAGTAGAGGGTTTTGGGAGTTTTCTTAACAAGATGGCTAAACTTCATTTCAGCTCTGGGACACCTATCCCTGAATGCTGGTGCTACCCAGCTTCTGTGACATTACTCACCCCTGATACAGAAAGCAAGAGCTGGGGTTTTTTTTTCCTGTTTCACTGGGCTACACCCAGTTTAACCATATTTAACCTTCCTTCTTCTAGCTGCCAACACTGGGTGGCACTAAGTAACTCCTTCTGACATTTTACAAAATTGACTCTAAAACCTTGAATCACACAGATTTGGCTCCACTCTGTCTTGACAGCAAATGGTTTTGTTTGAGAAACTTTGGATCATATGGTTGTTGCATAGAAACATCTGACTTGCATAGCATGTTTTGTACTTCCCTGGTTTGTTAGGTTGTTAAAACTCTCATGAAACTCTGGCCTTACAGCCTGGTAAAGATTCAATGTGCTGTTGGACTTGAAAGCCAAATTTCCTGTACTGAGTTGAGAATTTATGGAATACTTGAATATATACACCTGAATATCCAATCTGTGCTTTATTAGAGGTTAAAATAAGTCTCACTGAAAGGCTGAGGTTGAAAGGCACCTCTGGAGATCACCCAGGCTAAGTCCTCTAGGGGAGCAAGGTCAGCCAAAGCAAGGTTAACCAGGTGGTCCCCAAAGGGTTCCAGGAGCCTGTTGCCAGCCCCAAAGTTTCCTTGTCAGTCTGTCACCGGAGCCTGGACACTGCCATATGTGCTGGCCACCACTGCCAGCTACACTCTGTAAAAGACCTACTAAAATAAATCAGCTTTAAAAGAAGCACCCCCACAAACATGTGGCTGTCACCCCCACTGCTGTGGTCACCCTACAAGCTCCCTAGCCACCCTTTAACCAGCCTGTACTGGCTCCAGTGGGCTCTGGGAGATGCTGGCGCGTATGGTGATGGAGGTGGCAAAAACTCAGGGCCAAGTGGTTTGTCCTCAGAGGACACCCCAGGTCTATGAGCAGCCTGATCTAGTGGCTGGCATCCATACCCATGGTGAGGGGTTGGAACTAAATGATCTTTAAGGTCCCTTCCAACTCAAGCCATTCTATGATGCTGTGACAATGGCTTGTGGCCATTGTCAGCTACGCCACCGGTGGAGCCCCACTGCCATGTCCTGGTAACAAACATTACCACTGTTGTGCATGTACCTGTCCCTAAGAAGGTGTTTACATTCTAACAGGCAGCAGATGGCATAACCTGATGGGCTCATAAAGATGTGTGTCCTGAAAGGAGGACATAGAAATGCCACTTATAGTAGCTAAAAATCCTCAGTACGGAAATTAGGTAAGCAAGTCTTGACAGACTTGCCATGGCCATTCTGACAGCACTGAGGGAGGTGCAGCTGAGGAAGAAGAAGCTACCCAGAGTGAGAGATGGTAACTGCTGAAGGTCCTTAATGTCTCCAAGAAGAAGAGCAGGCAGAAGTGGGTGAGACCATTTGGTGGCTACATGAGAGCCAGGGCAGCAAGGATCATACATGAAGCAGTACCTGCAGTATCCCTTCCCTCTCCTGTGTCAGTGGGAAGGGGGTACAAGTAGAGTCAATGATGTCTGAAGAACAGCTGACTCACTGAAAAGCAGTTTCTGGTTGACAGAAGCTATCTGCCAATTGGTGTGCAACCATTCATCAGAATAAGCCCCAAAAATTAGAAACATAAAAATGGTTTGCTTTGTTGGTTTGAGGTTCTTTTTACTTTTTATTTTTGAAGCTGATCTCAAAAGGAAACCCCAGCTGGGGTGAGGATTTACTGACATGCTCTGTCTTCAGAGTGTGGCCAAACCACAGGACAGCCTGCAACGGGGCTCTCCTAATCCTCTTGATCAGAGTAGAATTATTTACATTGTTTATTGGACCAGATAGAGCAGGAATACCAGCAGGACTAAACTGCCTGCCCCAAAGACCAGGTCTGGGAAATTAGGGGATCTGGTAGGTAGTGGACAAGAGCAGTTGTTCCAGAGCAGCGTTGGCTGCTCAGGACCAGCCAACAAAAAAGAGGCTGAATTCGACTGCATAGCATGGCACTTGACTCCAGCTTAGCTTGGCTCTGTGTGTTGGGCCTATGGACCTAAGAGCAAACCAGTATTTTTGTAAGTTTGGTGGTTTTTCATCCCAGCATAAAATGCCCAGGAAGACAATGCTATAGCTCACCAGTGCTGAATTCCATAGAGTATGTAGTATGGCCTGGATTGAGGCATGACAGTGTTCAGGAGAGCTGGAGGATGGAAAGGCTGGTGTGACCATGCTGGAGGAACATCCCAGGGGAAATGAGACAGAGCTTGTTCATGTGGCTCTTGCAAGTTGTCCCAGGAGTATCCATGCCCAGAGAAGCACTGCTTGGTGGCCAGAGGCTTGATCTGGTCCAGAGGACAGCATAGGCATGTGCTGACCAACACCACTGGAACAATCAAGGCTGAGGACCCAGAGTCAGCTGGGGAGCTGTGTCTGACATTGTAGGCACATCTGACAGGCAGAACTACATCACCAGCAAAGAAGAGATGGACTCCAGCCCTGGATTTGTGCTCATTGTCTGCTGGGCTATCTGCTACCTCTGAGCTTTTGGTGTGGATCACTCCAAGTAGCTGTTTCCAAGGTAAATGTTCTCCTTGGGAAGCAAGCTCTAGGCACAGTGCCTGCAAGCCCAGGGGTGCCACTCTGCTCTGGCCTTTGTGCTGAGCAGTGTAGGCACAGCAAGGCACAGCCAGTCTCCTGCCTCTTTGTGCTCCATCTCCATGTGCCTCTGGTGCTGCCTGGCACACTGGGTGTGATATTGCTTCCAGGAAAGCTTTTTAAAAATATTTTCCATATGAGAAACAGAAGGAGTTTGAACTTGCATCCTATGTGCTCTGCGGCTCTGTTGTAGGCAGTGGATTGCAGTGGGTGATAGCTTCTCTTCATAGGCCTTGTGGCTGAGGACAGAGTTTCCTTGGAAATCTCCCTTTCCATTCCTGTGAGAGTTTTGGGGTTGACCTGTATCATGCTTTTTTATCCTTTAATGTGACTGCCAAACAGAAAATCAACTATTGGAAGATCTGCCTTGTCAAATAGACAAAGGCCCCAAGAGGC